TCTAATGAAAATTAAACCCCAAAACCCCTAAAATTATTCCAAGTTCAGGAAAATATATTAATTGACAGTAAAAATTTGAAATAAAAATATTGTCATTAAAACCTTGGCAATTATTATAAATCATTCTTTTTCAATATTTTTCCAAAATTCTTTGATATGCTTTCTTGTTAATTCAACATTTTCAATAGCATAATCATTAGCTTTTTGGATATCCACTTCTTCAATAGTAGAAATGCCGAAATCCTTGTCAGCTTGAGTAACAACTTTATTAATCTCATTTCCAAGGAGACCATTGGTTACTCCTTGAGCATGCTGACCTAGATAATCAATATTGTAGCCTCCTTCTTAAACCACTAACAGCTTAGGGCAGAATGATGCTAACTTAGAGGTCATGTACTAGTACATCAAAGGAGAAACATTTGAGAATCCGAGGAAATCATGAATGGCTGAATCAAACCCACAAGAAACAATTACTAATTAAGGTTGAAATTATTCTATGATTGGGAATAGCAAAGTATCACAAGCATATCTGTAGTCATGATTACCAAGAGTTGATACAGTATTATTAGATCTATCAACTTCATCTACTACTAAGCCTGTTTCCCAAGCAACATTCACGTTAAAACCCTGACCTTTGCCTTCTCCAACAAACTCAGGCAGGCATTCTTTATACCCAGGATAGAAAGTAAGTTTGTCAGTTCTGTGCAACGACATAAAAAGGACTCTTGGATCATCGTAGAACAGAGCTTGTGTGCCATCACCATGATGGATATCCCAATCAAAGATAAGTACTCTTTCTAAGTTGTATGGAGCTGAAAGAGCAACTTTAGTTGCTATAGCAACATTATTAAATAAGCAAAAGCCAGCTGGATGATTATGATATGCATGATGACCTGGTGGTCTAATTATGCAATACCCCTTTTCATGTTTGCCATCTAAGATGTCTCTTAGTCCAGCCACAGCTCCTGCAGCTGAGATTTTTGCTGCTTCATACGTATCCTTACACTCGTATATCTCTCCCTACCCAGGATTTATCACATTGCTACTCTCTCCTTCAGCTAATTTGGCGCATGAGTCCCTTACTTTATCAATTAGCTCTTAAGAATGAATGGCAGCTATAAGTTCTTCAATTTCATCTAGTCCTTATACCTCAAGCTTATCCATTTAATCTAAGAGTCTAAATTTAATATTAGGTTATAAGCAATTACCCTTCGTTTTTTAGATGATTATATATACTTGAGATTCTTTCAGGAATTTCGGGGTTTACCAAAACTTTTTAAGTTGAACCTTCAGGTGGGGGTTTGATATATTATTTATGAGCAAGCATTCTTTCGTCATATACATAGAACACTTTCCTATCTTGAGTCTATAATCCCTCCATAATTGATTTACAAATTAAAAATACGAGATCTAAAGCTAATAGCATAGATTATTTCCTCAAATATCGTATTGATGGGGTTTTGGGGTTTTGGGGTTTTGGGG